TAGTTTTATTTTTGAGGTATGTTTTCTGTTGTAGTGAAGTCGGGATATGTTCCTTATCCCAACTGTACTTTTTAAATTCTGTAATCAGCTTCTCAAGTTTCTAATCATTTCCAACACAAGGAAATCCAGCAACTATTAGAGGAAATATTGATACTATGGTAAAATAACAGCAGCTTTTCAATGGAAAAAAAATAGGGCTGAGCAAAACAGCCCATAAAGAAACAAATGGTTAACAGTGATTTATTGCCATGCTTCAAAAATCCTTCTCTGGCTGATTACAGAATTTAAAAAGTACAGTTGGGATAAGGAACATATCCAGACTTCACTACAACAGAAAACATAACTCAAAAATAAAACTATAAATCACAGAAATCACGACCAGGTTCACAGACTATCTATAATCATATTTTAGCTTGCTTGGCATGCTACAGTATGTGCTAAACACCACTGTACACCACTATGACTTGTAAACCTGGGTTTACAGTTAGCCTGATAAGCCAAACTATGACTCATTTTATTGCTAACAACTTCATTAGTCTTTCACATTTACAGTAGTCTTTCGCAGAATTATCTAGGAAAACACAAAAAAAATTGGCATAGTCTGATGCTTTTAAGAGCACCTTTGATATGCGGGTATTAATATCTGAAGGTTTTCCTGGGCTTGTAATAAATGGAAGCCCTTGCTAATTGCTGCAAATCAAATGGCCATTAAAATGCATAGCTGAAGAATGGCTTCAGCTGTTTAGCCATCTTATTTGCCCTGATCCCAGCAAAATGTGAAAAATAATTGGCTGGTTAAAAGGTGTTAGCGATTCTTTTTAATGTATGGTTATTTGGAGGGCTACCATTTCAGTTATATCAGTCGATTAATCATAGAAATCTTTGGTTCACTAATTGATGGTCCTACTGTAGATCATGAGGGCAGATTTATACGATCTGTGGGTGTTAAGTAATGTTAATATCCCGACATTGCAAAAGTAGGGGTGTAGCTAAGTGAGGGTCTCTTATATTTTCTGCCAAATAGGAGGCACAGAATAACAACTGGGGAGGCCTAATTTTACCTGGGAATATTTCTGAGTTGGGGAAACGGGGAGAATAGTCCTAAGTTCATGCACACTTTGGAAAGGACTTAGAAGAACTACTTTGAAACTCATACATAAACATAGCCCAGCTATAAAGATAAAGGTTCCCCTCGCACATATGTGCTAGTCGTTCCCAACTCTAGGGGGCGGTCCTCATCTCCGTTTCTAAGACAAAGAGCCAGCACTGTCCCAAGACGTCTCCGTGGTCATGTGGCCGGCATGACTAAATGCCAAAGGCGCACGGAGCGCTGTTACCTTCCCACCAAAGTGGTGCATTTTTACATGCTTTCGAACTGCTAGGTTGGCAGAAGCTGAGACAAGTAATGGGAGCTCACTCTGTTATGTGGCACTAGGGATTCAAACCGCTGAACTGCCAACCTTCTGATCAACAAGCTCAGCGACTTAGCCACTGAGCCACTGCATCCCTGCACTGCATACATGAACATACCCCAGCTATACTATTTGTTAAAGTAATCCAATTCTTTTCAGGCATCCATGATGCTTCAAAGCGCCCATTGCTTAAAAATATGTGAAGGTCCTTAAATGTAAGAGTTTAAATGCAAGTTTTAAATGCTTCATAACAATATTTGTGATTCCCTTGCCTTCCACATCCCTCGCTGTTGTAGCACGGATTCTTGGGCCGATTCTGAATCTCAGCAGAAGATCCCTTTGGAGGAAAGAAATGTGCCACAGATCCTTCCAATGCTATGCGGCTGGGAATAAGTTAAAACCCACATTTTGAAAGGCCAAGAGATCACATCTCCCTTTCTTTGGACCTACTTCTCTCCAACAAAAATGTAACAAGATCTTGTAGCTATGTTGATGTAAGATACTTTTCTTATGGAAACAAGGAGGAAAAACAAGCCCAGCTTGGGGATTTTATTTTCAGTGTTGTTGATGATCTGGATTTAATTCAGCTTCTCTCTAGCAGATAGTTAGTGGTTCAGCTATATTATAAAGCACTTCAAGAGTGTGCAGCACAATTTTGGGAAGGGTAACTTTCATTAGCCACAGATGATATATAGCATATTTTCTCTGGTTTTTGCTTATTTACTCAGAAATGGAGGGGGAAACCCATAGCTGCTTAAGTGAAGTTTAAAAAAACCTAGCTGCTTTCCAATTCTTTGCTTGCAATGGTAAACTGAGGGGTGTGATGGCTCAGTGATTAAAGATGCTGGAAAGCTGACAGCCCAGGTTTGAGACCTGAGTACCGCGAGATGGGGTGAGCTCCCATTAAATTGCCTCAGCTCTTGCCAACTTAGCAATTCAAAAGCATGCAAATGGTAAGTCGATAAATAGGTACCATTTTGGTAGGAAAGTAGCAGTGTCCCATGTACCTTGGTGTATAAGCATGCTGGCCACATGACCATGGAAATGTCTTTGGACAATGTTAGCTCTCTCGGCTAAGAAACAGAGATGAACACCTAGACCAGGGGCAGTCAACCTTTTTATACTACTGCCCACTTTTGTATCTCTGTTAGTAGTAAAATTTTCTAACCGCCCACCGGTT